ACAGAACTAACATAAATGTATTGCAGATATTGTTAAAGTTCAATCATTTTATGTACACATTTTAGAATTAGTCTGATTCAAGGAGAATCAGAAGGCTGAATCCTGACTGACAGAGGAGGAGTTGGGGATGGAGAAGGGTAATTAGCTATTGAGCAATGCGAAAACTGCTGATAATACTGAGGGACCTTATATATGAATGCTTAGATAGGTGTCGTATTCCTATAGGTAGATGGGGATCAGCTGAGAGTAAGCTGATGCGAGCTTGACTAACGTGACCTGCCAAAACTAACGCTACGCTTGATTTTTGTACAGATATTGCAGACCTGAAACAGAAGCTGCACGTGTTGAATCTTCTTGTACTGCTGCTGCCAGAACCCAACAGAAACACACTGAAGGTACAAACCATACACGCACACGCACACACACTCACACTCACACACACTCACACTCACACACTCTCTCACTCACACACACACACACACTCACTCACACACACACACACACTTACACTCACACACTCTCTCACACACACACACTCACACACACACACACACACACCTAACCCTAACCCGGAGTCGGTCTACCTCAGGGTTCAATGTGTGGACCGCGAGAGCATGTCAGGGGAGGTAGAATAATAATTAATTATTGACTACTAATTTGAATCAGTACTTTATAACGAAAACAATACCTTAAAAAGGAAAAGAAGCAGGCTTTTACGATTACATCATTTTAAAAGTCCCAGGATGCAGTAAGTGAATTCAAAGAGAATTCAAAACAGCGCTAATGCAGAGAAAACACGGCCGATTTATTCAGAGATTGCGGAGAGAACGGTGACTTGCATCCAGATGTTGGTAAATTATTCTTTTCAGCGTGTATTTGACTGAAGGTGTTTTAGATTGTGCTGTGGTCAGAGGTTTAGTGATTCTGAATACATCCATATGCAGTCAGGTCAATGCAGGCGGTTTAGTGGTCTTTGGCGTCTCCCTGTGGTCCTGTTTGGTATCGCAGCTTGACTTGTGCTAATTTGTATTGAAAACTGATTTAAATATTGATTAATTGATTGTATACATAGATTGTGAATTATCAAAAAGTACTTATAAATAAACAAATGGGGGACTTTTTTCCCACTTCAAGCACTGCCTAAAATCAAGGCGAGATTAAAACCAAATACTAGCTATGTTTCCATCACCCTCGTTTTATTCACATTTTGAAGTATCGCATCAGAAACGAGTGAATTTCGAAAAGAAATCCCTTAATTCGCAAAAAAGTTTTTACGTTCGCTTGAGGTGGTTTTTGACTTGTGCGAAAAAGGGTTAATGTGAATAATGGGAGATGGAAATGCATTTTGCGAATAAATCCCGCATGAGCATTCAAAAAAGTAATGTGACTTTGCGCTATGGGACGGGATAACCCGACTAACCAGTGGACCGATTTTGTTGCACAGCATCTGAAATGTTGTTTTGGTCGTTCTGAAATGCCCGAGCAAAGTCTGTCATCAAAGTATTTCTGTATAATTGTCTACCACGACTGCGTTCCCAAACAGCTGACATTCACCTCCGAAAGCATTGACAGTATTTATTGTGTTTCGTCTGCTCATTCGAAGCGCAAGTAATTTATTATATTTGAGAATTATTATATTCAGTGGCTTTAGTGATATTTAGTGCCAGTTTATCAGGAAGTGACGATTTTGTTCTCTCTGACTCGTTGGATGGAAACGGTGCTTAATTCATGAATTCCCAATTTTCCACACAAGTTAAATTCGCCACTTAGGATGGAAACCTTGAAGTGTGAATGCATGTTTTTCCAGGCGCTGCTGGAGTTCCTCAGTAAGGTGGTCCTAAGCGAGAGGCGTAACCGCATGAACCTGTGGGCCGTCTCCACCATCATGGCTCCAAACCTCTTCTTGCACAAAGCTGTTCCCAGTAAACTAGCAGTGGACGGTCCAGAGAAGGGTCAGGCGGAGCGGGCGGCCGACATCATGAGACTCCTCATCCGCTACCAGGACCTGCTGTGGACGGTAAAGATCTGGAGAAACTCACTTCTCCCCAAAGTGTTCAAGAGTGTTTGATCTGCTCTTCTGCAGGGGGC